TAATTGAAATAAAAAATGAGTCACTGTTTCTAGCAGTTTTTGCCAGTGTTTTATCTGTGTCAATCTGAGCTTAATTATTGAGTTTTCTTTAAAGTAAGAGGCAAACCTGCATATTTGACTTTGGCCCCATACAGTTATTGCACTCTTCAGACAAATGCCAGTTTACAGGTGTAGCTAAATAGGGTTTCAAGTGCCTTTAATGAACTCAGGTTCATTGAGACCTATGGTAAATATAACTAGAGCTAGAATGAGAAAATACATATTTTTCCAGAAGAAAATGAAGTCTTTAAAGTCTTTCTGCGGGTATGATTAACCATGGTATATGGTCCATCACTAATGATGCTGCCAAAGTCAGCTTCTATCAGCTATGAGAGGAAACTCATTTGGAAAGCTAACTGCATGTCATAGGCAAAGGACATGCTTTGCATTCTGCAGCCAGCCATGCGTTCCTCTGATATTTGCAGTATAAATATGTATTATGAAGAACTTACTTCTTCTGGTAAACATGCTCAAATATTCCATAGAATTTCCACTGTGATTTACTGTTAATGGACAAACTAGAAACTGTGACAGGGCTTCACAGAAATATGTGAATTCACCAGAAGGCTCTAAGATAACAGAAATACAAGGGAAGACTTTCTCATATGTTTATTGGATCTGTAACTGGTTGCTGAGTTTCATGTAGAGTTGAAAAGGATGATGGAAAATTGAAGCTTTATATCTACAGAAGAACAATGTTAAAACAAACAAAAAAAAAGTATATGTTTCCATTCTGGAGGTGCATGAAGCCAGTGAAGAGACACTGTAAAAAGCTGTCTTGGGAAGTCATTTGTATGGCAAACCAACAATTTAAATGGCCCTATAAAGATTATATCCAGTTATATATACAGTGATTCTCTCTAACTAGGAAAAAGCTAATTATATATTACTAAATAAAATTGGGTTAATATAATGGCAAGATATTCTTAGAAATGTACACTTATTTGTACAGGAGACACAATACACATTTGCATAAATCATGTACCAGTACTTAGGATAAATTGAAGATCTTTAAAAAAATATTGATTAAAAAAAGAGGCAGACAGCCCACTCCTGAATGCTTTCACTGCTCTTGGAGGTGAATGCGCCCTTCCAGGGAGATGGGAAGCCTTGTGGGAAAAACCCTTGTGAGTCACGCAGAGAAGGAATTTAAACTTGTTGCTTCCCCTAAACTGTTGGCTATTTTCAAAAAGACCCAAAATTTCAGTAACTTTCCAGTATCTTTTAAACCCCTTTTGATTTGTGAGATCCTGAATGTTTTCTCAAACTCCTCCATAACTGGAGAAGCCCACCAGAAAATGACTAGTCAAGCAAATCAGCATTTTCTAAATGAACACAGAATAAAAAGAAGAACTCGCAACTACCTTTCGCAATCACTACACATTTCTTACTTATCATCAGGGCAGATGTATGAGTCAGAGCAGTGGGCTCCCCCTTCCCATCCCTGGCTTACAGGTCTCTGCGGCTGCACTGCAGAGCAGCAAATCGCTCTTTACGTGTTGTTAATGCGCTGGTGAGGGTGCCCCCAACAGCCATCTAATGCAGGGCTTCTTACTCTGCTGAGGCAAACGAGAAATTGCAAATGAGGTGCACAGCTCTACTTCACTCTCCTTTTCCTCCTGTCCTGTGGGATCGATATACCGTAAAGTAGCATGAAGATGAATGAATTGAGAGTTGGCTAAGCTAGTTGAGACATTGGTGGTCTTAAGACTCGACAGCTTGCTCCCATCAGGAGAGAAGGGTCCCCATTCTTCTATGCCTTCATCCTCTGCTTCTACATGCATGTACTTGTGCTGGCTTCGGGGTTTGCATGGCCCTTGGTGAGCTGCTTCCACTGGCTAAAACTAAAGAAAACTGATGCATTCCTCCCTCAATATATATATACATATATATATACATTTTTTTTGGCCAGGTTACTAAATTGAATCGTCTCACTGGGAAGTCAGAAGAGTGATGGCAATGGCACTTGGCGGGGAGGGAGGAGTAGGGCTGCCAGTTCAATGGCAAGGGGCTGTTAAATGCGTTCACTTGCCTTGTCAGACGGACCTACAGTGAGAGCGCCCATCTCCTTGCCCCAAGGCTGGGTCAGTTATGCCCAGAGGACGCTCAGCAGAATGACACCTAACTTGTGCAGCCTCTCCTACACAAGGGCTTCGCAGTTCCCCTAGATGCTTCCTTTTCTGCTTGTAGTTAGGAGGTATTTCCTAGCATAAAGTTAAATCTCTCTTGATGAAAATCGAGCCATTCACTCTTGGTTCTAACTGTGATGGATGTGGAGAACAGCTCACCTATCACAACTGTTGTTGTATCAGCCTCTCAAGTCTTTGGAAACATCTGTCCTTTCTCAATTTTCTTTTTTCTCTAGAAGCAGCAGTTCTTTCAGATGTGCTTTCTGCTCTGCTCTGTAGACTGCTTTCCTGTTCATATTTTCTTGCCATTTGCACCATTCTTTTCTGGATGCACTCCAAATTATTTGCACCTGTCAAAATGGGGGACCCTAAGTCAGACAAAGAATGCCAGCCAAAACCTAATCAACGTCAAGTAAAGCACAGTAGTTCCTGCCCAGGCATTACATGCAACATTGCTGTTAATACCATTCCAGAATGCCAAATACTTTTTTTTCTGAAGTATCATCATACAGCTAACTTGTATTCAGCTAACATTCTGAGAAAAAGCCCCAAACGAAAGAAGTAAGTATAAAATGACCCCACCTGAGCACTGTTCACTCCAATAAATAATTATTTCACCAGATCACTCCTAGTAAATTCCTCTTGGTAGAGCAATAATACAGATGGAACAACCAGCTTATAGTTGCTAAAAGTGTTTAATTTAATTAAATGAGTAGCAAGGCCATTTCACATGTCCCAAAGGAATTTTGTAGGCCATTAGATGTCAGATGAAAATCAGGACTTATATCCACTTTGCATAATGGACAAATCCATTGTGAATGGCTGAAGCCTTATAATGAGGATAAAGTGAGAATTTTCTATCATTGCTCTCTTGCATGGGCATTTTGGTTTTGTTATAAGACAAAATATTGATGATCTATAGAAAATATAAACATTTTAATGTCATGCTAAAAGCAGCCTAACACACAGATTTAGGAGTAAAAGACACAGTTACAGAGAATAATATAAAAACAGACTGTAGACTTTGAAGGCCTTTTGCTAGTTAAATTAATCCAGGAATGACTTGCACTGATACAACTATCAACCAGGAAGGCCATAGGGCTCAAGAATATCTTTATGAAATAAAACAGAGAAAAATCTCAATGCCGAAAAGCGAGAGAAACTGGAACATCGAATATATCTTTTCCATCCCTATTTTCTGAAAAATGATAACCAAGACCAAAGCTTTTTTATGATAGCGGAACTGTTAGGTATGAATAGCAATGCCTAAGGGTATGCTGGGGGGCTGAGGGAGGACATACAGTTTGCAGTAAGCTGTTACTTGGCAGTGGCAGACAGAAAGGAATGTCTACCTCATAGACAGATAAAGCATGTTTTAATGTCTGCTGTATGTAGGTTAACGGGCATTTACACAATTTTGTGTGTATTTATGGCATCTGTCATAATATAAATATACAGTCATAAAGCTTTAACACCATACTACCCTATCATACATTCAGCACAGCTTCAGACATGTACATACACTGAAGCCATTGGAGTCACTTCTTTCAGACATCAGAGAACTTCACACCATACGTCTGATAGATTGTACCATTAGGGGAAAAAAAGCAAAAAAATCACTTTGGTGTTTTTTTTTCTTTTTTTAGGCCTATTCTTCTTTCTCTTCTGCCCTGTCCCTCCCCGTCTAACTGTGAAACCATTTGCTTAATTATTAACAATTTAACTGAATAATCAGCTACAACTGTTGCAAGAGTTGGCTGCCGCTGCACCTCATTGACTACTTTTGCTGTGTTGTTCCCCAGCACTGTTTAGGCCTTCTGTTAGGCCTTCTGTCCTAGGTATTGCAATTCAAAACTATGGTTTGTTTGCCCAGAGAAAATTACAAAATTTTAACAGGGAAATTATTTTCTAAATTTGCTGCAAATCAGCCAACATGATGAAGCCTCAGCATCCCAGGAGCCCCACATCGTCCACTTATTGTCCAAGCCCCCAGAGGAGCTCTGCTGCACTCCCACCTTCTCCCCCATGCAAAAGGTGACCAACTTCCCTGTTGGACGCAGCTCCCCAGCCACAAAACAGTTAATGCCACTAGGTGGTCAAGCTCTCTGTCCTATGTTGAAAATTCTCTATGCTCAGACAGTTATATTCATAAAGGCCCTTGAAACTGAAGCTATTTAAACCAATTCCAGCTCCTCCAGCAAGCTATCTCTTTACTTACCTTCATTAAGCTTTTCTGAAGTTCCTTTGTCATCCTGGTCCTGTGTTATGGCCAGCTTCAGCAAGTTCTTTGTACATGAACCACAACATTTTTCAGTCTGCAAAGAGAACCACAACGCACTGTGCTTCCATTAGAATAAAACTGATTCTTTACTTCACTTCTTAATAGTAACCTGAAAAAAAACATGAAGACACTTCAGCAATTGCTGATTGAGTTCAAGGAGAAGACTTTCCTTACCCTCAAATACACATAACAGTAGGCTTTACAGTCTCTTGTGTACTATAGTGGGTATTACCAAAAATTTACTGCATTTATAAGTTGTAAAAATAAATGATCGCCTACTATAAAGTAGTATAGATCACTCTATAGATGAACATTATTACAGTACCATACAGTACTGTAACATACAGCATACCAACAAGAAAATGTCAGTGCTTGTTACTGTAGGAATACTTCTTCATTATGAAAAATGATGTACATGTATTTGTATGCCATTACACACAGTACCGTTAACTAATCCTCTGCCCACATGCACGTTCCTGAGTTTTGTGAACAGTAACGAATGAACGGTAGGCACTGCTGCCAGTCTATGACAGATTCTCTTTTCTCCTCAGCACACAGCTGTATTGCCATTTGCTTTCCTGGAAATCTTTGCCACACCGCATCGTTATCCAGCGAAGAAGAAGGGACTGATCCTATTAGGATTTGCCTCTTTTGTCTATATCAGTTGGTAAGAATTGTGTAGTTTAAAACATGGGATTTCCTTTAAGTGATCTCCTTTGGAAAACAAGGCCAAACTCTGTATTTAGATTAAGTTCTCTCACATACACATGGGAGAAATAGATGGTTTGGTGAATAAGTTACTTAAACATTAGGCGAGACTCATAAAAATTATTTCCAGACACAGGAAGAGTAGCTTTCTTCAAACACAATATACACACATGGTAACTCCTGCTATTCTAGGTCCTCTTTAGAAAGACAACTAAGTTGTCATAAACTCTGAGGTACTTTGAGTTATTTCTACTGGGACAGCGTTCCCCTCTCGTTTCTACCAGGACCACCAAATTCAACTTTGCTTTCTGTCTTGCTTACCGTAAAAAGACCAAATCTCAGAGGTCTGGGGGTCATGGGCCCAGAAGAGGAGTAAAACTTATTTTAGTATTTGGCAGGGAAGTCTGAGTGGATTTAGAAACTTGACTTAGAAAGTGATGCTCAGAGCTAGGTGCATACGGACTGGGGTGTTAAGGAGGCATCTGCACCACTATTACCTCCAACTGCATAGATAGAAACCCGTACATTTCCAGTGATATGCCATCATTTATCTCCAATAAATCCCACTTTCCCACTGTTGATCCCACTTTCCATTTATAGGGATTCTGAGAGAATAAACTATATCTAACTGGGCTTCCCCTCTGTCCACAGCCCACCCACCTCCTTTGTGTGTGACAGACCACTGGAACTGGGTTTGCATCTGTTACTGCTCATAGCATCCAGGCTCCAGTGCCAGGGTCCCACCGCAGGAGGCACAGCCAGCTCTGTGTAACTACAGGCAGCTGTCAACATTTCAAACCACCCTGACCAAGCATTATGCTGAACCTCAGCTCTGGAATGGATGTATATAGTTTCAGGATGCATTGTGATATAAAACTCTTCCCAGAGATGTACTGGACATGGGAAGCATCTAGACCCTACAGCTGAAGATGTAGAATGACTGATAAACAGAGAAAAAAATTGTTCTCATGCAAAGCTTTCTGCAAAGTAGCTGGACCTACCATGAAATTTAATCTTCTCATTTTACCCACCAGTTCCTACTCTCAGCTAGAATACGCTCCAACATTATCTACCTCAGTCCCACCCAATGAAAATCTGGAATAGAAAATAAATCACACAGATAAAACATTCTTGTGACTTGAAACTCATAATAGTGTCTTTGGAAGCAATGAACTTTGCTACTACTTTATATAAGCAAATTAGGAACCATTTATCCTAATCCTGCCCAGAGCCTAATACGATTACAACCATGGCTTCCTAAATTCCTTTTCTGTGTTCTGGTTCACTCACTTACTTAATGCTAGCTTCATTTTGCTTGTATTCTGGCAGCATTTGTCTTTTACTGTCCTTGAGATCAGACAACTCTCCAGGCAATTACTGTACTCATATGTGCCGTGCTTTCACCTAAAGCCCCTCATGCCTAGCAATTTCACAGGAGATACTGTTAGTACTGTGGCTTGAATTCTCATTGTAGAGTGAGAATCAACACGAGGATCTGGAATGAGCTGCTGAGTAATATATTGCCTTCTCAGGTCATTTTCAGTCAATTCTAACAGACTTCTTGGAGGAAGCCTGGCTGCAAGGAGGAGCAGTAGGTGACTTTTTGCACCAAGTACCTACCTCTGAGTGAGACTTCACTACAGCTTTGGATATCTGCAGTATTCAAAAAGGAAAGGTCATTTTCAATCATGGCACACCAGGGTTAAAAGAACTGTTAGGAACATTAGTTAACTCTTGCAAAGGTGGATCCTGCATGTCATGTTTGTATTAAGCAATGCCTTTCTCCTGGAGTCATCACACTGAAAATAATGAAGGATATACAAATAATAGAACCAGCATTTTAAATCTTAAAAAGGAAGTAACAAGAGCTTGCCCTTTTCCATATCAGTAGTAAAATCAATTTAACAGTAAAGATCAGGATAAAATAAATCTTAATCATCACAATAGTACAAGTGCTTTTGGAGATAAGATCAAACTAGCTTTGTAAGGGAATATAAATTATTATAGATCGTACACTATATCTTTGCAAAACTAAAATACAAAAAACAAATCAAATTAAATTGAGAGACTAATGGCTCTCTTGTAACGTGTCCATATTCTGCCTCTGCTATGAACCAAGATTCTTCCTTCGCTGCACTATCCGTTCACAACCTTCTCATTTCAAATTAACCACAAACTTAAAAAGCTCATATATCCCCAGTATGTTCCTCTCTCCGTTCTGGATCTTCCCATTTAACAACTCCTTAGACTATATTTGTTTTTATATTTTATATGGAAAGAATATTTTTATATTCTTAAATCTAAGCATTTGCTGCTGGTCATTCTTATGAATTGTAAACCATGAAAATAATGTCAGGAAACTGACAGCTACCAGACTTGTTTGAGAGAAGAAAAAGGGAGAAAGGGAGGGCCTAAGTACAAGAGAAGCCCTATAAAGTAGGCATAAGTACTGTGTTCTCTTTTATTCTTTCCTTCTTACAAATGATGCTTTGCAAATGGTTCTGAAACAAAAAGGTAAAGCAGTCAGTTATATCTTTGCTACCTACCTGGAAATTGTTCCTCCTCTCCTTCTGCTTTTAGACTGAGGGAAAAGTCGCAAGGGAGTTTCCCTTACCTGCTCAACTCCTGAATCTGTCTTTCCACTTCCTAAAACAGCGTGTGGACTGGTCAACACTGAGAGGATACAGATAGTCAGTGAGAATAAGCACTTTTTTCTACACAGACCCTTTGGATCTGAGATACTATACTCTGTATAGCCAAGTACAGAATCATATTTGTGAGCATTTTGCTTTTTTTACTGCTATTATACTGCTATAATTGTCTGTGCCACTAGGGTGACAATAGAGCACTGTTTACATTTCAACCTGCAGTGAAATCCATCTAATTTAACAGTGATTCAAGTGTGCTTCATAGAAAATAGTCCAAATGCCAAGGAGAGGTACTGACAGCTGAACTGTTTTTCTCTGTATTGAGATTATTTTGATAGCTTGGCCCTTCTGGAGTTAGAAATCATGAAGTGGTTCTTCTAACTGAATGGTACTAACCAAAGGTCATTTCTCTCCTTGTCTAGGGTCCTGTGGATTTACTCTGTAACGGGAGAGTGGGTATATCCTCTCTTTGCATTGTTCAGCCCAGTAGGACTAGCAGCCTTTTTTGCTGGTAGCCTTGCCATCATTGTCTGTTTCTACAGCTTTGGAGAGTTCCTCAATCGTATGATATGGGGTCAGTTCATATTTTATTTTTCACTTCTAAAAATAACACAGGGGAAAAAAAAGATTTAAAATGAACTCTTGTGCTTGCCTAGGTAGGTGGGGAGAGGAGGTGGGCCCTTGTACACTGCGGGGGTATTTGGGTGTCTGAGAAAGATTACTAGGTCCAAAGTAGTCACCAACTAGCAAAGAGCAAATCAGAGCAAGAATCCCAACCGTACCAAATAAAGGCTGGGCCAGTTTTCTCTAACGTGGCTTGAGAAACATCTCTTACCAGCATAATCACTGGTTTTTTAATTCCTTCTCAAAAATGATCCGCAGAGGCAAAATATCTGTGGCTAAAACTCTTATTCCACATGCAGAGTTTAGGAACTAGGGAATGGTACTGTTTACCAACAATGTATGAAGGCAATGCATCCAGGTGAGAACATCTCAATAGCTCTGTAGGTAAAATAGCACTTTTGAGAACATCTCCCTTCTGCTTCCATAGTGACATAATCAGTAAGGATTTAAAGAAAAAGAAAGTCAGCCTACTTGGACAAATAAGCAATTAGAAAAAAAAGAGTGGTTTAGGAGGAAACATTCACCAGTTAGTAGAGGAAAGAGAACTGCGGAAGCTTTAGGATTTGGGGGTCAGTTTTTTTTTTTTCCCCTCTAGTCTCCTCTCTCCTTTTCATTCAAGATCAAATTTTATGATGATGAAAGTGTTTCTGTCAGGAAAATGTGTGTATTTTATTTAGGACAAATGTGTGAGCATTTACAATTTCTTAAACTAGATTCTTGATGAAAAGAAAAGCCCTGCAAAAAACACCTCTGAAAATAAACAAGACAGCCTCCCTCTGTTCTCAGGGAACATGTGATGTCTGATCTATTTTGTGAAGTCTCACATGCCTGTCAAGCCAAAGTAGAGTGTCTATAGCTAGTCTCTCACCATTTGTACTCTGCTACCTAAAAGCAGCAGACTGACTTTCAAATGTGCTGAATAACCAATGTCAGTGCCTGATACCTTTGCAAATAAGATGCTTGCTCCACATACCCATATTTGAAAATTTTTGTCATATTCTATTCTTGTATAAATACGTGATGAAGATTGCTGGTAACTGAAGAGAGATCTGTAAGCATTTTGCATTAACTCTGGTGTAAGAGGCACCACCAAAAAATCAAATACTACTACTACTATTTTTTGCTTCTTATATTGAATCAAAGACCATACCATCACCACTAAAAGACAAAACAGGTCTTCTGTCAAATATCAGATCTTATACAATCTAGGTATCAGGTTTTTTCATCATCAGCTAAGCATTATTTATTCCAGGCCTAGAATATGCCTGCTGCAACAACTGAAGATAATCAAAATAAAATTAGTTTGATTCTCAAGGTGTTAATTGACTGAACAAAAGATTGTGCCAAATACAGATCAAATTAACTGCAAAAATTAGCTGCATTTCTAACTGCTGACTAATTACTTTCACTTAGGAAATAGATGTTAATTCTAGAAATTCTAAGTAGGGCAAACACCCAAATTTCTCTTCTGTCGTCTCAGAAAGGCTGAAAATCAGTCCCAGTTGTGACAGCATAAATGTAGCCTGAGAGACTACAAATAAATGTACCATACCTTATGTCCTCCACTGATATTTGATGTGCTGTTGTGGTTCATGGAGGTCTCTGTGTGTGGTAGGTCTGTTCCTCCATTCATGCTTCATATTTTTCAAAAGAGTCGCAAAAGCATAGCCCTAATGATTACTTGGTGTTTTCATCCAAGCACAGGGCACGTGTGTAATCTCTTGTTACTTTAAATATATTCTCAGCTCTTCACCTCCAGGACTGACAACATTACCTAGATTTGCTGTACATTGATGAAAAGCTGCAATTTGCACGCCCATAGCTGGTTGCGCTGTAGTATCTAAATCTGCAGTTTGATAATATGGGGACTTTGAGAGCAATAACATCTCAGTGAGTTCCTGCCCACTGCCCCCAACTCTTTCCTACTCTAGCACACATTCTTATTTTTTGCAAGCAGGGATTTTTAACTTGGATCTTTTCCTGATCCATTTCTCACCCAAGAAAGGGGCAGGTCTTCGTTAAGCTGGTATTACAGAATCACAGAATCACAGAATGCTTTAGGTTGGAAGGGACCTCTGGAGATCATCTAGTTCAACCTCTAGACTGGGGGTTAGAAGGGTCCTCTAGAGCATATTGCCCAGGATCACATCCAGACAGGTTTTGAATATCTCCAGCGAAGGAGACTCCACCACCTCTCTGGGCAACCTGTTCCAATGCTCTGTCACCCTCACAGTCAAGAAGTTTTTTCTCAGGTTTAGGTGGAACTTCCTGTGGTTCAGTTTCTGCCCATTGCCTCTTGTCCTGTCGCTGGGCACCACGGAGAAGAGACAGGCCTCATCCTCTTGACACTCCCCCTTCAGATACTTATACAGGTTGATCAGACCTCCTCTCAGTCTTCTCTTCTCCAGGCTGAACAGGCCCAGCTCTCGCAGCCTTTCTTCATAGGACAGATGCTCCAGTCCCCTGATCATCTTTGTAGCCCTCCGCTGCACTCTCTCCAGTAGTGCCATGTCTCTCTTGTACCGGGGAGGCCAGGATTGGACACAGGACTCCAGGTGAGGCCTCCCCAGGGCTGAGGAGAGGGGCAGGATCACCTCCCTCCACCTGCTGGCAACACTCTGCCTAATGCAGCCCAGGATCCC